TGATAATAAATAACTAAAATAAGAATGTTTTGAATTTTTAAAATTTGTAATCACCATATGTATTGGCCTATCAAATAAGCCGAATCAGTAATGTCTCCGTATACCGGAGAACTTTCTCATTTTTTTCAACACACAAAATGACTAAAATGTCAATTTGTCAAAATGTATGCCTCAGGAGGGTCTTTTCTTTCTACAGGATCTATGATGATATGCCACCCTTGATATATTTTGAGTAGTGCCCCAAGCAGGAAAGCACTTGGGAGAAAAAGATAAATCAATTGTATTTTTGTACAAAAAAAAAAACAGAGAGTTGTCCATGGCTACATCACAACAAACTTATGAAATTGGCAATTTGAGATTTGTAAAGATTTAGTGATCTCATATTTCAAACATTCATAACCCCCTTATCATTTGGTCCAATTTATTTCAAACTTCCACCATTCTATCTCTCGTATTTGTCTGTTTTCATACAAATGTACTTCTTACAAGAGTTGGATTGCCCTTTACCTTTGTATGTATTGACAAACAGTCAGTGGCATTATTATAGCACCTCACTATTATTTGTAAACCTTATTTAAATGACTGAAATTGACATTTACAGGGTTCTGCAGCAGGGAGAAAAACATGAATTACCAAATCTAAACTTTTAAAAATTTCCCTTTTTAATTTTTAATTCCATATTCTTATATTTGTATTGCCTTCATTTCATCTTTTCTGCCATTGCTTTGGCCATGACAATGAAATGGGGTGTTTGATTTTTTTTTTATAAATGTCAATATGAGTAATTTGCTGTGCTCATTACAACGTAAAAAAACTACTATAGCACTTAAGTTGCAACAGTGAATATATACATCATTCAATTTATACTGATTCAAGCAGTTTCTCACAGAGCTGACAAATAAATCTTAGTGAGAATAGAAGGGAATATAAAAAAAACGGTAAACCATAGACTGATACTTCTTTAATGTGTTTATCAAAAACATTCAGAATCTATACTTAAATTACTTTTTTCTTTACAAAGCCACACAGCTTTTTTTCATAAAGTTTTCTTATTTCATATTATAGACATTGTATAATGAAACAAACATTGCCGATATGATGCATAATAATTATTACATTGTTTTTTGCATATTCTATTGAATGTATTTTCATGGAAAAAAAAGGAAATAAAAGAATTAGTATAATATAATCATGCTCTAAATATATTGCAGTTAGACAGGGAGTGTTACACTTTGTGAGTTCTACTTTTCAAACTTTCTCTTCATAGACCAATCACATGATCGGACAAACCCCGCCAACGACTTTTCTCTTTCATCTCCATGCCCTCCTAGATGCAACCCATTCAACCAACTACCTTCAAACTTTTCTGTTCGATCACAGGCTCAAATTTATTGATCATCATCATCAGTGACAGGAGAGGAGATAAAAGCAAGAAAAACGGTGGGAGTTTATTTTTGTAAAACAACATGGCCTCCACAGGATTAAGAAGAGCAGCACGCAGAGCAAGCCTAATCAATGGATTATCTAACGGTAGGTTTATCCTAAATCAATTATTCATCGCTCTTATTTAACTCTATTATTTCATATTGTTTGTTTGGACTGGACAGCCTGGGAACGTTTTTGAATTCTTTTGTTTTGTGAGATGCTACATGCCCAGAAGGTGGAACATATTGAAGGATAGTAAGCAATGTAGCAACATGAATGACCCTGGAATGTTATCTTCCTTCCTTGCAACTACCAAAACTGGTAGACCATGGAGCCAAGGCTACCAGACAAGCATTTCACTTTACCCCCTAAAGACTATCTATCGATCACTTGCACTCTTTATCTGCATTCGTCAATATTCATTTTCAAATTGATAACACTTGTATTTTTTCTAGTTTGGTTATTTAATGGTGTTTCATGACAAATTTGTAAAAAATATTCCTCCCCCCCCCCCCAAAAAAAAAAAAAATTAAAAATCAAACTTTCTTGTATCACTAGTTTAAATAAGATATTGAGTGCAATCATTGATTATTAACATATGGGCCTGGGTAATGGCACAGGTGATCAGAGTGGTGCTTTTAGTACTAGAAGGTCCAGGTTCAAAACCCAAGTCATTGCACTTATGAACTTTGCATCACTATTAATCCTCACCAACCAAGTAACACAGAAAGTTTCGTGTTCTGTAGGAAAGGGGGAGGGGGTTGATTTACCCATTAGTAGATTTGTGTAAATCAGATTTAAAAGTTTTTAAAATGATGCTGTCGGAGAGTAGCACTCATTGCTACTTTAAAAGATATACAGTGTAACCTGTATATAAAGACTACTCAAGTGAAACAAGAACAGTGGTCTTTATGTACACCTGTACAGGTTTCACTGAGAAACCATATTTTAAGGGAAATTAAAAAAGTGGTCTTTCTATACAGATGGTCATTAAAACAGGTTTGACTGTATTTATATATATATAAAATGGAAAAAATCTATGATATATCTATTTTCTCTAGTTCAGATAGGAAAGTATAGCAATATCTAATTTCCTAAATCACGTTTTATCACAGTTAATAAAGAATATCAAAACTCTCATTTTTTCATATTCAAGATACATTTGCAATGAGTCAGATATCTGACAAAGATACTTCTGTGACTTTCTTTCTTGCTGAGGATTAGTAAAGACATGTGGGAAAACAGCAGTCTGTTCTATCTAACCTCCAATAACCACCTTTATTGTTGATCAATCAGCTTTTTAAGTGAAAAAGAAAGGAGGCCAGCCAGTTCATGAGTTCACACAGAAAAACTTTCACACACAAACAAAATATAACTATTCTCAACATAAAGACTTTTGACAGTGTTTCTGAAGATTTTGACAACATTTGACAAATTTGAATTAATCGTTTGACACAGAGTGATTTAGAACTTTTAAAGATAATTATGAGGGTTACGAAGAGATTGAGAAACAACATTCGGTGATAGAGTCCGACATCTTTCATATTTTTTGACGGACACATGCAGGTCTGTCATTCTAAGACTAAGTGTCTGTCACATATGGTGTCTTCCCCATAGTAGAGAATCGTGCAAGGACTTCTTAAAAGAAATGTGCTCCGTTTCCCATCAAATACTTTGAGTAGAGATGAACAATGGAGGCCCTTCCCTCTCCCCATCTAGGGAAGCCAGAGGTTTCTATTGTCCTCCTCGGTATCTATTTTACTTTCAACAAGTTCAGTAGGCCCTGAAAGAGAGAATGAGAGAAGGAGAGAGAGAGAGAGAGAGAGTGGGGGGGGGGGGTGGAATATAATCTTGAGTTAAGCTCCTCACAGGGAGGTACTTGCCCATTGTAAGGCAAATGAAGATGAGAGGAAGAGCCAATGAGAATCGGTTACAGGTTGGGTGAATGGGCGCCCGGTTTGGCTTGGGGCATTAATAATGCAGAGGTATAGATCACCTTACTCATCTATAAGAGAGAGTTTGGCGGGTTTTACTACCACTTAGTCAACTGCTGCTTCCAGGGATAAGTCATGCACTCTTGGTAAGATCCCGCTGGTTCTGCGTGGAGTTACAGCCTACAGGTGTCTGTGGTAAGACTTATAGTAGGAGCTATGGCTTTACATACATACCAACCTGCAGTATAGTTGTACCATCTTGTATAATTAAACTAATCAAGTTTGATTTACCACTGTATATATTTTTTTAGAATATATCCTTCTACAGTTGTAATAGTTTGGTATCTCAATGTATTAGTTTTCATGCTGCACTTACGATTTGTTTAAATGTAAATGTACTTGTACTGTGTTAGAATATTTAGAATAGTACTGACAATGTTTTTCTTATTCCACTGAGTATCATGAATGAGCTAAGAAATTGTTTTAAATATTTACTAATGAACTTTCATGTACAAGATTCAAAGGTTTATAGTTACTGTTTGTAAAATATTCAAAACTTTTAATTTCGTCTTTTTATTCAACTTACATTGCAAAACCTATAAATTCCATGCAGGTGATATAATTACTTTCCATAATATATTCTGCTCAAAGTTATGCCTGTTTCGTTCGATCACTAAACATTTTTTTAAAATCCTTGTCATCTTATATTTTTAGTTAGTTATTCAAAGCCTGGTCAAAAAACACTTTACCTACGTTACATCAAACATGGTTTCCTCTTGTAGGGTCTTAATTAAACAAGATAAGATTTCATTCTAGTCTGCCCAGTTGAGTATCCTTCGAATTTCCTTTCACTCGACATCTATTATTCAGTAGCCTGTATACATAAGGATGGAGGAAAGGCTCCTTTGTTCCATGTTTCTGAGCAAGCACACTGAGTAAGCACATTTCCTTGTGCTTCTTCTAGCTGACATTCATAGTTTTCTGTACCGAGGCATTCCTGCTTCAGTTACAAGCTTGAGGTTGATTGAGTCTTCATAGACAACTATGGAGTGAAGCTTAGACTGCCCGAGTAAGAATGAGTGCAGAAAGACAATTAATGGGAGAAGAATAGGGTAGGCTGTGGCGTGCGTTATGTAACTAAACCCTTTCTCCTTTTATCTAGACGGGTTATTGAAAGTATTGTCCTATCAAATTGAGAAGAGGGGAACTGAAAAAAGAGGTTAAAATCCAATGATAGTATCCTACACGTGGCTGTACTGCAGTGGTTCATATATAGTAGAGTTGTTATAGGTTGGTTAATGATGGATTTCTAGGTACCCTCTTGCTTAATGATATTGAGCAGACTAACAGAAGTTATTAGAAAGACTTTCTGACAGTTGACAGTAAGGATGGGCCATTTATTTCAGCAGCTCACCTTGATCTATTGTTAGCCAAGGTAGTGCCCCAAAAAGAAAATTGACTCTGTCTATGTCATATAATAAATCATGTCAGCATGGCTACTCTACACAACCATCTAGACTATCACTGATCAACGACCCCGCTTGGAACGTCTTTCTTCCACCAATCTACCCGTGATGTAACGGCAGGGGAATGCACACCACTACATTGGTCATCTTGGATTCCTGGTCTGCCAGATTATACTTCAAATCCTCAGTAATCTTTGGTTTTTGTGGAACAGCTCCTGTGAATTATATAAGACCATGAGTTGTCCCACAAAGAACACAGATCGCTGTGAATCATCACTTCAAACTTCCCAAGGAAAACGACACTTCCGCAACCATCTCTAGATTGAGATTTAAACACTAGAAAAGTAGAAGAAGCTATGAGAATAGCTTCTATGATGCAGGTGATTTTTTTACAATTTAATTTATTATGTACCACAGCAAGGATCAAGTACTGTTTGATACCTTGTGTAAATGTTCTCAGTAGCTGAAAGAACAGCTAGTGTAGGCTAATAGAGTTTAGTTTGTTCACATCTTCACTTGATACTGTGCTATTTGTTGCAATACATTGCAGCGATAGTGGCAGTATTGTATCTTTGTGTAAAAGTAAAAAAAACGAAATTATGTCATTGTGGTACAAGATATACATATATACATATACATGTACATATATAGGCAACCAACAAAACTAGATTTTTTTTTTCTTCAAATAAAAATAAATAATCAAAATGAAAGTAGTATTCATATATATCTAAGGAATTTATCATCTATTGTAACTACTTGAAAATATATTATCAGTGCACTAGGTCACTACTGAGAAACACTATTCTTTTTTCCCCTTTAAATAAAAAAATATATACCGGTAGGTGCAACCAGACATACATATAGTATTGAAATGCAGGACATTCGATTTTCATTTTCTTGTTTCTTGTTTCTTAAGTTCATAACCCTTCTTCTTTATACATGTATGTAAATCTCTGTAGAAATTTTAGTAAAATGGATCTCTCCGGGAGGTCGTGGGTTCGAACCCCGGCCGCGTCATACCAAAAGACGTTAAAAGATGGGAGTTGTTGCTACCTTGTTTGGCGTTCAACAATAAGGGATAGAGCAACGTCGATCTGGCGCTGCTCAGTGGCTGCCGGGCTCACGATCAATTGGGCAAAAAGAATTTCCGTTTCGGTTTAATAAAATTTGGAGTGGACTATTAGGCTATTATTATTATAAAGTACTGAAATCCCTTTGGTAAAACTATATTATGGTTTGTTAAATAATGTAACATAGAATTTAATCTAAGTGTCAAAAATATATTATTTCCATTTAAATGGTTAAGTTTACCTTCATCTAAGATTTGAGCTATTAAAAGAGACACTATATGGGCAAACTTTGGAACAATCAACAATCAAGGCAGTTTTTCGTCTAAAGCAAAAACTGTATAATAAAGTTTTATTACCATCTAAAAGACATGTAAATATAGACTTTTAATCAAGAAGTTTCTTCAAAGTAAAAACAAGATTTACTGCTATGTAAACCTGTACATATAGACATTCTTTTTCCTTAGGATTATTTTTTCATAAACTTCATACAAAAATTATTTTCAAACAATTCATAAATTGTTTTGAAAAAATCAAAGTGATTTTAGAATTTAATACACAATGGAGAATTTGTTTAAGGAACTTTTTTTTTACATCAAAGTATGCTATGCATTGTGCCCTTTTTTAAACAACAAATTGATTTTTTTTTAAATATAATAGTTCAGGTTAACACAAACTTGAATGCTGTGTAAGATGAAATTGTATATTTTAAAATGGTGCATATGACTTTGAGAAGATCCAAAGAACTGTTTTCTTCAAAAATATTTTCTTTCAACAGGGGCGAGAATGAACCAATGTAACTAAAGAAACCTCCCCACATAATACATACAGCCCTACATATTCAAAGTCTTAATATATAAAACATCATTTTCCCCTCTACTTTTTTCTCTTTCCTTCTCAGTGTTTACTGCCTCTCTCTATCTGAACCCGTTTCTGATGTCACTATTAAACCAGTCCCACATATCCAAATCAAAGTAATATAAGGTCACCCTTCATATACTTTCTCATGATGGTATTTCACATGAATACACATCAAATGGCTATTAAAAATTCATCAGTCCACAATACATATTGACCCCATATCAGTTTCTTCCCAATATTATTATATACCTAAATTTTAGGACTTTGGTCCCTTACTTTACTCTCTGAAGTGTATTTCAGCACTCAGAAGGTATAAATACTGTTTTTAAAGATCTTTGTAGAAAAGATAGTCACTAGATCATGATCTGTAAATGATCCTTATAACTGGTAGTTAATATTCAAAATAATTAATGAGTTAGGATCAGTAAATGCTTCTTATAACTAGCATTGACAATGTTTCTGGAGACCTCATTAGAACAGGGTCAATAAATTGATGAACATTGACAATAATCTCTTTTTTCCCTTTGATATATCTAAAAATATATATTTGGGAAAGTCCATCCTTATCTTATAGCTCCCAATTTTCATGACAATATGATTATTCTTGAGTAGTGGTCATATTCATGTATTTTAGATGAACTTGGAAATTCAATCAGACTGTTTCTTTTAAATTTAAACCTATTTTAATTTATTGAGATAATTTGATTAAATACCTCACTTGATGTCACACATTTGCATAGCAAACCTACAAGTATCACATCAAAAGACATTAAAGTAAGATGACAAAGCACTGTCCTCTTAATATAATATAAGGCATGTTGAGGGAGGGAATTGGGTTCTCAATTAGCATGGGCAGCAAAGCATGATTTGAAAGAAACTTGATTGAGTGAGGCTGTAAAAGTGTATCATGAACATTAAATGAAGCAGGATGTCAAGTGGCTTTTACAGAAGAGAACCAAAGGGCCAATGTCTGCTACATACTAGCTAGATAATGTATCTATAGACATGAGTCTTGTAAGAAATGTTTTGTTCATCTTTCATTGCTAATGATATATAAAATGACATCATAATAGCACTATGCAGTGTTTTTTAGATCCTGAACTTAATCTCTTTCCTCATTTAACATGAGACAGATATTACATAACAATCTGCAACAGTGTTGTAAGTTATGTTCTTTTAGTTACAAAATGACAATGAAGATATTCTGACAGTTCATATCATCATCCATGCATCTCTAGATTACTTCTATATAAGTGGAAAACAAAAATTATGTGGAAGATTGAAATTACATAATGGATGAATTAAAAAAAGTACATCTAAGCCTAAAACAGATGCTGTTTTCTTTTCTCTTTAGCTTGTCCATCCTTTCTCTCTCTCTCTCTCTTCTCAGACACACAAACACACACATATCTCTCTCTCTCTTTTCGTCTACCGTATTAATCCATCTCTTAAATACTGCATGTGAATATTTGAAATGATCATACTTGTCCATTAATATTACCAGAAGTAAAAGGGTATAGCTTAGCTATCAACAATAAATCAAAATTTTAAAATGTTAATTTTGGATTTTGACAATTTGTATTTCTGTTTCTTCTCTTTGAGCAAATTCGAAAATTTGAGGATTCTCCTTAAAACCACATCAGCAACAATGAGAAATACATCTTCCATGTTTGCTTGTTGCTGTTGGGTGTTTTATTTATTTATTTTATTTTTATTTTTTTTTTTGGGGGGGGGGGCAAAATGAAAAAACCTGTGAATATAGTAAAACACCCCCTCATGAAATGAGACAGATACCTGCTAAAGAAATCTTTACTGGATTAAGCATATATACATACAATATTAGAAGATAATTATGAAGGAACAAAGACACTGTCACTGTGTGATGGATAGCATCTCAAGTGGAGTGATAGAATATACTAATACTATAATTACGTTATCGTGATCCTGAAAACTTTCTCTACCTCTATCCCCTTCTCTTTCCTTTACTTTGAACAGATTATTAATTAGCTAAGTAGAATACAGAACCCAAGATAAATACCAACTTTATTGATTCTTATTTTCTGACACACATGTTTGTGTTATCTGGTTATAATGATATTAATCCATCTACTAGCATCTGTTCTAGAACAGGAATGGTTCACAGATGAAAGTACAAGAAACAATTCTAAGATCAATAGATGAGCGTCGTCCATTGATCACGGTTTACGTCAGATGGGCGGTTTCTCACCACTGAGGTTGCCCGGTGGTGGGAATATTGATATATGCGAGCGAACAACTTGTTGCTCTCTTGCTCACAGACAATAGGAGACTTGATAGGAATAAACAATATGGTGGGACATTGTCTGAAACACCTTGCAGTTTATATTTACGAGCATCATTTCATTTTGATTATCCTATCTTTTTTTAAGTGACAAATTGAGAAAATGACAGCTATTCAACCCCCCCCCCAAAAAAAAAAAAAAAAAAAAAAAAAATTACAGCTCCAGACAGTTAATAGTAACAATTACTCTCCCTATATTTCTACCTCTTGCCAGTTTCTTTTCTTTGTCTTTAAGATTAAGCCCACTAGATTGACTGCCAGCAAGACAAAAAATGTCTTGTGGACCATTTGAAAATTTTCAAAGGGTTCATTGGACTGATTGCCCACTAGACCAATGACCGATGACCAGCATTATTAGTCTATGAGTACAGCATTAGTCTTGCGGACCATTGGTCAACTGAGTATTCAGTTCCATATATAAGTGTAATTAATCTATCTATATGAACCTTTGCTTTACTTTTAGGTGAATGAAATAAACATGTTGAAAAGATCATAGAAATAGAATATAAGAAGAAAGAAAATAAGTCAGATAGAGATGGAAGATTAATGGAAGTTTAAAAAAAATTAAGTACTGCACTAACATTTTTAAAATGAACTTTTAGACATTACAAGATCTGATGACTACATTAATAGGAATTTAATAGGATTTTCCCGACATTTTTTAGCATTTTAAACTCCTGCAAAAACCAAAGACAACAAACAAGAAATGAAGGCATAATAAAAGAAAGAGGGGAGAGATTGAGAGAAATAATGATATTAATAAGGTGAATTTTTGACGTGCCTAATACTATGTTTCTAGGCAGGAAAGAGAGAGATAGGGGAGAGAGAGGTAGAGAGAGAGAGAGAGAGAGAGAGAAAGATAAAGAAAGAGAGAGAAAGATAAAGAAAGAGAGAGAGAGAGAGAGAGAGAGAGAGAGAAAGAAAGAAATATAGAGAAAGATAGAGGAATAGAGAGATATGGAGAGAGAGATATAGGGAGAGAGAGAAAGAAAGATAGATAGAAAGAGAGAAAGAGATAGGGAGAGAG